CTGTGAAATACCTCCATGTGTCTGTGGGTTTATCTTCCCACCTAGGAGCAGAGTTGTCTGCACGGGGTTTCTGTCTTTGGGGGGGACGGAGTCCAGGTCCCTGTTGCTGCACCTCCTGTACCCGCCCGGGACCTCGGACCGTCTGCGTCACGGTCGTCAGCGCTCTGCAGCCCAGGTCCCTGTGGGTGTCCCCACGGAGGGTGTTCTGGCCCGCGCTGGCACACGCAGCGTCCGTGCCTCGGGGAGGCTCTGGGTGCGCTGGGAAGGGGCTGGTGTCCGCGCTCCAGGTGTGAGCCATAGGCACAGCTCACTGCTCTTGGGTCTTAACTTTTTTAGTTCTGTTGGGGAGGTTAGAGCGAAAGAGGAAGAATGCAGGAAGAGGATTTCATTTTCTGTCTTTAGAGAGGCAGGAATACTTTCTTAGAGAGAAAGCCCTGCAGCTTTCCCTGAGGAGCTCTCAGCTTTCATTTACCCCGGAGCTGGAGGGACTCACGCCTGCTCTGGTGAAGCTTTTCGGGTTTGGAGGCTCGTCAGTTTTCCTTCAGAAGGCAGAAAGCTCTTGGCCAAAACAACCCGTTAGGTTTTCCTGGCCAGCTCTCATCCTTTCCCTGTGTGCCTGACTCGGAGAGGCAGAGCTGTACTTGAACAGGATTTATACCTGCGTACCTGCTGATGGAAAAACGGGCTCTGGACGTGGGAGGGACAAGGCTAGCGGAGACTGTGCTTGTCTTTGTTCTCCTTATGTTTCGTTTTCCTCCCTCTGTCTTTAGACTTTAAAGAGGAAGGAGAAGGAGTATGAACACGAGATGGAGCGGCTGGCCAGAGAGAAGATCGCTACCCAGCAGCGACTGGCGGAACTGAAGAACGAGCTGAGCCAGTGGATGGACATCCTGGAGATCGACAGAATTATCCGACAGACAGTTCAGCCGGAGGATGACCAGGCATCTACCTCCACAGCATCAGGTACCCATAACGTTTCTCTTGTCATCATCACTGTACATCACTGACACAGTTACATAGCGGTGGTGGGACCTTCATTTAGCTCCGTCGCAGTTTCGTTGCGTTCAGAATAAAGTGAAAGGTTTTCAGGTGGTTTGTAGTCCTTGGTGTTGGCCTGATGATACGCAGCCGCTTGGGTAAGTCAACTGAAAACCATGCGTCAGCGTCCGGTAGGTACAAAGCGCGGGTTTGCACGTTCAGTCTGCGGACACCTCGCATGGAGATCCCCGCTTTCAGAAGTTAGGTTTCCTCTTGCGCAACGGTGCATCGCTGCTCGTTAGGAGCGAGTGGTGTGTGAGCATCCCGAGGCGTTTGTGCGTGGATGTGGGAGGGTGTTCAGCCCCGTGGAGATGAAGGAGTTGGTACGGGAAGGATCACCGGAGCGTTTGGACAACGTAAGGAGCCTTCACGTTGTGTGGGAAGGATTCACGGTGGAGATGAAGCGATGCTAACAAATATCTGACCTGCTGTTCCCAGGAGAGTGCATGCTTGTCTCCATGCCGGTGATGTGCGGCAGGGAGCGTAGGCAGGCTGTGCACGCGGTGCTTTGCTCTCCAGAGGTGAGGAGAGGTCCACAGCCAGTGGCAGCAGTTCCTTCAGATCGCGACAGCATTTGCCCTTGGCACTCCAGGCAGACGAGACAGCGGGTTCCAGGAAGGGAAAACCCCAGTTTTCTGGCTCATTCAGGCTTGTATCGGGCTCAGCACCTTTGAACAGCCGCGCAGACTCCGAGCAGAGGCTGGTGGAAGGGAGAGCAGGAGGGCTGTGTCCACAGGAGTGCTGGCCGCTCGCCTCTCCCGCCGGCCCCTGCGGAGGGTGATCGCTTCCAGCTGCTGCTGACCACAGAGCTGGCGGAAGGGAGGTGTCTTCCCTGCTTCTCCTGCTGCTTCTGCATCTTCTGGGGTGTTTAACCTCTCCTGCATGGCTGGCCTTAGAGCAGGCAGGGCCAGGCTCTGCAGGGTCAGCACATCCCCGTGGTGCTTCCATAGTTCCTGGACGGGACCAGAGCCCATTTCCCTGAGCCAGATGAGGAGCTCGCTGCCAGGTTTCTCCATGGCTGTTTCCTTCCTGCTCTGGGAGCAGCAGCAGTGGTACCGATCGGTGGAACAACCGTACGGGAAAGGAAACTCGGTTCCTCTTCCCAGCAGGAGCCGTCCTCAGCACAGTGCTCTCCGCCTGCCGCTGCTCGCGGTGCTTCCCGTGCTGGGCGAGATCTCAGCCTCTTGTGAGCCCTGCTCTAGCTGGGGCTGTGGGCTGGTCACGCCTGCCTGCCTCCGGGTCGTTGGGCTCTAAGCAGGGAGGACGGTCATGCTGCCTGCTGGGGCTCCGTGGAGCTGCGATGCCGTGCCGTGCCGTGATGCCGTGCTGCAATGCCGTGCTGCAATGCCATGCCGTACCGTGATGCCGTGCTGCGATGCCGTGCCGTGCTGCTGTGCCGTGCTGTGATGCCGTGCCATGCTGCGATGCCATGCTGCAATGCCGTGCTGTGCCGCGATGCCATGCCGTGCCATGATGCCATGCCGTGCTGCAATGCCGTGCCGTGCTGTTCCACCTGCCCGTAGCTCCATGACTCTTCCTGCTGTTGTCTCTTCCACCTGAACTGCCTTTCAGGGAAGCCAGTTAGTCCAGTCCGTGCTCTGCTTTCTTTTTTATGGGAGTTTCTTCCTTTGTGTTTTTTCCAGAGGGTGAAGACAACATGGATGAGGACATGGAAGATGACAGGCCAGTGAACTCGTTACCAAAACTAACCCAGCGCCAGCACCCGGAGCTGCTGAAAGCCGTCCCTTCCGCCGCTGCTCCCCACCACCCGGCGGTTCTGCCCCAGCACCTCTCCATCCAGCAGAAACAGCCCCCCGCGCACGCACCGCCTCCCATCCAGACACAAGCACTGGTCCAGCCGCAGGCGATCGTCCCCGCACAGACTCAGTGCAATCGACTGTTATTGCCCACACCGCCACTACCCACGCCTCGGTCATCCAGACTGTCAACCACGTGATTCAGGGTCCACAGACCAAGCACATTGCTCACATTGCACCTTCCACCTCCAGCCCCGTGCAACTCACCACTGCTGCTCAGCCCATCGGCCACATCACTGTGCACCCGGCCACCATCAACCACATGGCCCACCTGGGCCAGCAGCTGCCCATCTACCCCCAGCCCGTGGCCGTCAGCCAGCCCGTGGTGAGCCACATCGCCCACACCATCTCGCACCAGCAAGTGAATGGAACCACAAACCTGGGCCAGCAAGCGATGATGGCCAAGCCTGCTGTAGGAACCCAGGTTGTCCATCACCCGCAGCTGGTTGGGCAAACGGTCCTAAACCCGGTGACTATGGTGACCATGCCGTCATTCCCAGTGAGCACGCTGAAGCTGGCCTAGAGGGGATCGTCCGATGGCGAGGTCTCTGTTGGGAACCTTGCCTAAACTCATACATTCCAACCACGTGCGACTCCGCGGGGGGGAAGTGCAGAAATCGCCGTGTGGCGGGCCGCCGGGCTGGGCTGTCCTCAGCCGCCCAGTCACCAGCCTGCCGCGGGCAGCGAGGGACGGGGCCTCTCTGCACTTGAATTTTGCTAATCCGAGAAAACTTCAAAGACAGTTGTTCATGGTGATTTTTTTTCCTTTTATGTGTAATCAGTGAAATATGGATATGATGTTCTTAAGACTTTAATTTTCCCCTTTTATGTGTTGCTTCTTTGTAGAATAAAAATTGCTGATCTCTTTATTGAGACGTTGCGTAGAATGGGAAAAAAAATCACAGAAGTCTATATTTATATATATGTGTGTATGTGTGTGTATATATATGTATATACATATATATATAAATATAACATTTGAAGAAGGCCTTTTGTAAGGTTGATTATTTTGCAGGATTATTAGACAAAATTCATTTTTGGAGGAAGAAGACAGAGTGTCCTCGCTAAACAAGAAACTTTAAGATAGATGGTTTGGTGGACCAGGGTACATATACAGTGACAAAAGAAAAAAAAAAAAAGGAAAACCGTGTTAAAGGTATTTCCCATCAATATATTACATTTCAAAAAACCATCTAAAATCACTGTGACTTGTTATGGCATTTTAAGGAAATTCTCTGTCCTGTCTAATAAAAGGAAAAAGAATACACAACCGGACTTCATCTGTTGCAGTTTTATACATGACTTGGGTTTATAGCTCTGTCAGAACAATGGTGGTTTTTATTATTGGGATGGTTGGCAGTGTATTGTTTGGATGGTTTCTTGGGGATTTTGGTTTTTTGTTTGGCTTGGTTCTGCTGGTGCAATGGCTGATGTTGCAGATCTCTGGGCATGGCACTCCCCGGTCGGGATTCTCGTGACAGCCCCCAGCCCCCAGGTTTCTTGGGTTCGGTTTTGTCTTGCAGAGGCAGATGTTGGACCGCGCTTGTGCCAGGAGAGGTCGGACCAGGCGATCCCTGAGGTCCCTTCCCACCTGGTGTGTTTTGTGCTGGCGAGTTGCAGTGTGTGTGTCTGGCCCGACAGCAGAGCCTGGGACGAGACCAGCAGGGGCTGAGTGGATTTGCTGCTGGGGTTACTGGGCTGCCCACGTTCTAGTGTGGGAGCCGGTGGGTCAGAGAAGGGATGACAGTGCACGGGGCGTCTTCCAAGGTGCAAGCAGGTTTGACATCTTTTTATCTTTGGGGGGAAAAGAAGGAAGTTCAGCCTTGTGCAGGGTGAGGGAGTGCTCCAGGGGATCCGTGTACGTGACTCGTGTCTGACCGGCTGCAGGGAGACGTGCACCGAGGGTCAGCCGTGGTCCCGCGGGACCCTCGTGTTCCATCCTCCCCGGGGCTGGGGCAGGTCCCCCTGGAGCCAGCGAGAGGAGGGGTGAGTTCGGCTCCGCGGATCCTTCCAGCGTGCCCGGGAGGGTGCTCAGGAGGGGTCTGATGGCTGGTTGGGTGCTCTGCTCCTCGCACCGCTCTGTGTCTGCTACTGCTCGTAATTATCTTTTCTGTCTTCCTCTCTTTTTCAAAACAACTACTCGCAGTCCTTAACGCAGGTGGAACTCCCGCTGTTGTGCTGGGGGCAGGACGGGAGCACAGTCCCAGCCGGTGTCTGAGCAGGGACGCTTTGGAGTGACGCGGTCAGAGGAGGCGAGGTGGGGCTGGCATCCCTCCTCCGCTGTGTGTTTCGGTTCGGGTCGAGATCTTCCCCAGGAAAAGGTGATCCGTGGTCTGCCCAAACGCCTGCCGACTCCAGCAGGACTTCAGCCTGGTCGTGGGCTGCTCTGAGCAGTGGCAGAGGTTTCACTCAGCTTCCCAGTTCCCTACCGTCCGTGCTGGGGCTGGGGCTGTGCTGGAGGCAGGAGTGGCTGCTGCAAAGGGAGAGCCAGCGTGGCTGTGCCTTCTGAGCAGGGCTGCGGAGCGTCCCGTTAAATACCTTCATAAAGCCCCGGGTTGCTCCGTAGTTAACACTTTTTTTTTTTTCTTGCATCCGGGAAGATCCTGCCTGTGCTGCTAGCCCAGTTCCTCCAGCAGAACAGTCAAATCTTTAGGGATTCCTTGTCCTTAAACCACATTTAACCAGGTCACTTGTCACTTCCAATGCACCGCTGAGGCTGTGGGGAAGCGGAATTGCCGGGACGTCATCCTCTCCTCGCACGCGCTGGCGCTCCCAAGGACGTGGTGTTTGTGTGCCAGGATGTCAGAGATCAGTGTTGGGCATCGGGACACGAGCAGCTCTTGAAAACCCAGTATGTGCAGCAGGGTCCCCTCCCTTCCTGGGAGGAACCGTGTGGCGTTGCCCCGTCACGGGGAGAAGGCACCTTGCTCCTGCCTCTGCTGCTCCGACTCGTGAAATAACGAAGCGGAGGCAGGAAGCCCCGTGTCCAGTCCAGCGGCTGAGCTGGGTGAAGGAGGAGCAGCCCGGGTCGGAAGTGGGGCTCAGCGCTGGCCGGGAGCCGCCCCGTCCCCTGGTG